AGGAAGGTTCCTAGGCAATTTTTAACATGACAGGCGTGATCACATGGTCGGGAAGTATCCTATACATGTATAATGTATATGTATATTAGTCGTTAGGTGCAAACTTGTAACTTAGCTCTGTCGGTTTCCCCGCCTGTACTATCCACGAGATTCCGGGGGGATTTTGGAAAGGATTTGGTTTAATACCAAGCGGAATCCCTTGTCCCTGTTTTGACCCGTTTTGGCAAGTTTTCGGGATTTGGGATTAGGGACTAAATCGGGATTTGGGGTTTGGGACTAAAATGGGATTCTTTTTTCTATTAGGGAAAAACCAAAGGTCCTACGAATGATTTTTTTGTCTTTTCAATCACACAGTTTCCGATTGAGTAACTCATCAAGGTCCCCCTGGCACGAAAATTTCGTCCGTTTGGTTCTTTCTCTAGCTGTTGAGGCGCCAGAGGCAGTTTTCCTTACGGGAATGACCCCAAACCAATTCAATATTTTTTCTCAGATATTTAATGGTCTCTAATGGGTGTACCCGTCAAAATAATACGCTGGGGGAAAGGATTTGTGACTTTTGGGGCCGAATCCCTAATAGAAAACGAAGGTCCTCCGGAGTCCCAATTTTGAAATCCCTCCGTAGGTCCTTTCCCAAATCCCCCAGAAGTACCAAAAGGGGGCAAAACAGGACTTAGGGATTTGGAAGAACCCTAGCCTCTGAAGTCCCGCGGAAGTCCCTCTGAGGGTACGCTCCAGTCTGTACTGCAAAGCGCTACAGCACTCCTATTTGTCTCTAACTACGTCGAGTATATACCTATAACACATACATATAGTGTATCTACGGCCCATCTGATGTCGTCTGACGTACTTAAAATTGCCCAGGAAGCCTCCTTCTCTATCTTCTGAAAACGGCACCAAAAGGCGGGCCGGAGAGCAAAGGGACTTCGGAGGGATTTCACTAAAATGGAATTTCGGAGGGATTTCAAAACAAGCGAAATCCCGTTCTAGTCCCTCACAAATTTGAGGGACAACTTTGGAACAAACTAGGGACAGAGTAGGACCTTCGTTTTCTATTAGGGAAGGCCTATTTACGATGGTCACCGCATGTATTGTAAAATATTTAACCGTGCACAGTACACACTTCGTCCCAATACGCGGACTCCAGTTTCTCCGTTAAAATGTATTACTGCACGGAAAAAAATAATTCGTTGCTTCAACCCATGTTTGAGTTGATTTGGAGCTTGCAAAAAGAATTCGTTGTGGGAACAAAATATCCGTTGTTTTAATCAAGCGTTTGCTGGTAGAACGAATTCTTAGTTGTGAGAGCGAATAGATCGTTGACGAAGTGAATAAATCTGATTGCTGGGCCGAAAGCGTTTTTAGTTGAATCAACGATCGCCTTCGCTCTCTCAGCGATGTGTTCGCTGCTCCAACGAATTTTGCGTTGCATTAGCGAACACTTGGATGAGACAACGAATTAGTTCGTTCTCACAACCCAACAGCGTTAGTGATTCCTATATCAACCTACGTATGAGTTGGATGAACTAATTATTTTTCTCCGTGATGATTCCATGTCTCATTGAACACACAAATCTACGCCAAATTCAGTTTCAGTTGAGGGTTTCTACGGCGTAATTTGGATCCTTCACGATGCTACGTACCGATCCTGCTTACTAATCAGACGACGCGAGCTCTGCACGTGGGTTCACTGCATGTCACTGTATTGCCTGCGGCATCCACCGAGTACCAGGGCATGGCGTGGTCTGCTTGTTGTCGCTGTGGTAAGAAAGGATCTGAAAATACTAGACAGATGTACGGCCGTTACGCCAGACCATCCAGTAATAAATTTGGGTCTAAAAAGTCTGAGCGAGTCCCCATATTCGTAGCTTCATTCAAATTATTATAGCTCACTGTTTTAAGAAAATTTCTCAAAGTTTGTGAACCCTCTTTTTTTGCGCTCTGCAGCTTCATGCTGCGCATGTGCAACTACCTTCCCTTATGGTTGTCTGTTCTTCCGTATGAATGAGTAAAATCAAGCAGTTCCTATTTTGCGGTTTCTTCCCCTCCCCAGGCTAAGATTCCCATGAGGATAGCCATGACCACGTGTTTGCCATGGCCGCCAAGGGCCATGGCCAAATGCTCATGGCCATTTTTGGCCATTGGTGCTATTAGCCATGACAATCCATACCAAACATGGCCACCATGGCTACGTTATGTGGATCTTGGCCATAGTAAGAACCAGTGGCAATGGCCACTTTATATTAAAAATTGTAAAGTAAGTCCTTAGTCAAAGGTCATATATGAGTCAGTCTAGTGAAACGGGGTAAGTATTCAGGGTGCCCAAACCGAGGCGGAGCCGAATCTGGTGTCTGTTTTGGCCTAGCTCAAGCCGTTTACAAGTTGCAGGAAAAAAGATCTCCGATTTCACTGAAATTAAGATGGCCCCACTAAAATACAAGGAAGCTACAAACCAAATTTCAGATCAAAATTCCAAGAAATACAGTTTTTATTGGATGTTGAAATTTCATGGCCACTAAGGCCATGGCTACTATTACATGCCATGACCACTGCTCCCATGGCCACCCATGGCTAGAGGAAGGCCATGGACAAGCTTGCTTACCATGGCAAACGAGGAGGCCATAGGAAACGCTCTCTTGGCCATGGTAAGTGTGCTCGTGGCCATGGTAGACCATTTTGCGTGGCCATAGACACCGTAGGAATCTTAGCCTGGGTCTTTGGGATTCCATTTACCATCCAGCGTTGCAGACGATACGTAGAGGCAGCTTGGGGCGCTGACATTAACCCCGTAGGCCTTGCCACTTCGTGATCCACCCTGCGGCCACTGCGTTCTTCTCTTTAGACAGTCCCCAGTGGCTGTCTCTACCCGGAGGTAAAAGTTACCAGTTTTGATTAAGATGGCCAAATAACGTTCCAGGTTTGATCAGCCGATTGACGTGAATAATATAGATTCTCCGTAGGGGCAAGCGTTTTCTCCGTTCCGTTCCCTTCGAGCCTCTTGTGTTGTGTGTGAAATAAGAAATGTGATTGTTTTCGCGCATGCAGAAATTACGAACTCAGCAGAATTTGAATGGTGATTCTAGCATAATTTGCTGATTTTCGTTGTTTTTCATTTTGACTGCAGCTTTCTGGAACATGAAAAAGCGCTTGTTTTCGGCGCACTAAAATTACGATACAGGCACACTTTGATTGCTGGCCCTATCATCATTTTCTGTTGGGTGAATTTATTTATTAGGCAATGATTTGCAGAACTGCGAAGTGTTTAGATCCTTTGTAATTACGAAGGATTTACTTTGCCATTATAAAGTGAAAAGCATAGCTTTGCAATTGCAAAGCATTACTTTGTAACTGCAGAGTATAGCGTTGCTTTGCAGGAATTTAACGGTGAAAGTATTCCGTTGTGATAAAGGTTGACGTTGCCGTTGCCGATTTTGCCGATAAACGTTCCAATTTTTAAGAGATAAGCAGAGTTTCAGTCTTATCTTGATGCTTTATTAAATTTAAAGATGCAAGACTGAGCGCTTGTTTGTTTCGAATTCGCTTATGGAGCTGGACTGTCTCGGGACCGACCAGGAGGCCATTTTTTTTTTTTTTTTTTTATTTTTTTTGCGACTCTACCGGATGCATTAGATTGTAGCTTGGTGTGGAGCTGACGTAAATGCGCGTCTTCGTAGGTGTGCGGCGCAGCGGCGCTACAAAATTCTCAGTCGACACCTGAATCGGTACTCATTTTATAAGTCTTGTTATTTCTTATTTACTTCAGTTTTGTAAATTTTCCAAATGTATCGTCTGCTGAAAATAACCAAAGCTTTGTGTTTGGCGTGATCACTGAAATCGTCCAGTACTCAAAGTCAGCACTAAACTCAGTTTTCAGCATCAGCAAACATGCACGTATTGTTAAAGTGGTCTTTATAGTCGTAAATACGTATAAAATAACATACACATGCTAAAAAACACGTGAAAAGGGGGACAGTGAGGCTGCTTCAAAAAAAAAAATCGTTATGTTGGAACGCATTTTAAATGAAAATACAGTCAATAGTAAGGATTATAGTCGTTGTCCGAGGGTTTCACTAACCCTCGAATCGTACACGCCTCGCTGTCTAATTTTACAGAAAATAAATGCAATCTTTTACAGAAATTTTGTTGTAATTTTACAGACCATGTTATTATAACAGAAATGCTATTGTAAAATTAATAGTATCTGTAAAGTTACAGAATTTAGGTATTTTTCGCGAAAAACCTACAGTAAATTTCGACGTATCCCGACAGAATGGGCGTATCTGTTTTGGGTCGGAGCAGAAAGGGCGTATCTTTTTAGCGACTGCGAGAAAGGACGTATCTGTTTTGGTGCAGAATAGAATGGGCGTAACCCGCTTTTCGTGGCTATTTAAGTTAACCCTTAAAGGCCCTTGTCGTTAATAAAATACATAGTGGAAAATCGCAGATATCACCGAGATGATGAGACATTTTTGGGGTTTCGAGGGTTGCTTTTTGTAGAGCTGGTTTCGGGGAATCGATCTAAGGCCCTCTTGACGTTCTGAGACCTCTATTGTCGAAACTATAAGCCTTCAAAGTCAAAAAACACGCTAAAAAGGCAAATCGTGAAATTGAGCGTTTTTGGATGTGACCCAAGTAAGACCAATTGGTCGGATCACTTCGAAAAAGTTATTCCGAGGTGGCCTGAAGCTTACTGAAGCCGACTACAAGCCCGATAAAGGTCTAACTCTAATCGGCTCGTTGGGAAACGAAAAAAACTGTACGTCGTTTATAAACGACAAGGGGCATAAGAGTATAATAATTTGACGATCCCTAATATGCTGACTTTTTGGTCAAAATTGGACTCTGACAGTTTTAACTGTAAAACAAACGTGTCAAAATATGTCAGCATTAAACAAAATTATTCATTGGTACTAGACAGAGGTAATTATCAACTACAGACACTCGCACCCTTCAGTAGTCGACCAAATTATACAGAAACATACATTTTCACAAAAGGCTATGATATCATAATAGGGTAAGGGGCCCAGTAGTCGACAGTACACCAGTAGTCGACACTTTCAACTTTGCGATCGATTTCCCGCGAAGAAGGTAACGTCAGAGTCTCGCGCGTTTTTCCGGGTTGTAGCGCACTCTATAGAGATTATAATGAACCCATTGCCGATTCCGTGCCACCTCCGGGAGCCGGTTGGGAGC